CACACATGATCAGTTTGGTGTTTGGTGTTTGGTCAGGCTACACAGGGCGCGTGCGCCCAAGCCTAAGGGCTAGAGCCAGTTAAATCCGCCTCCTCCGCTTTGCAGAGGAAATTTCTTTAACAATGTGCTCCACACCTGTGCACAGGCGCTCGGCAGCAGATAATTCTGCCTCCGTCACGGTGGCTCCTACATCAAACATGTAGGCTTCTGAGCTCACGAGTGTCCACGGGCCATTCTCTGGAGCAACTTCGATCCAGTGACCTCCTGCAGCACCCTCACTGCTCACTCCACCATCCCAGCATCCTCTGATGTATTTGATGTTTGTCCTGTTCTGTTTGATATAGTCGTGCTTGTAAATTCTGTAACAGTTTCCTTCTCTCGCATGGTGTGTCAGCTCATCAGCATAGGCATTGGCTTCCCTATAGATATGTTTCCAGAAATCCCTACCGTACGTCGGGCATCGTATGTTGTGTTGTTCACTCACGTCATACATGATGTTTTGTATCCTGGCGATCCGTTTGGCATACCCACTGTTGTCACAGGCCCAGACTCCCCTCAACCATTGTACGACCGTTTTACTGTCTCCGCACATTTCAACAGCGATACCTTCCATCCCAGGGTCCCATATCGTAGTCTGTTCATTAATAACTGCAAGACGTCGGGCCAACTCGTCATCTGTCGGTGTCTTCGCAAACCCTCCCATCCTCCTCTCCTTACTCCTCCTCACAAACATATCCTCCACTTTGGGTATCTGTGATATGTGTTCCACAAACTCCTCCCAATCCGTCGGTACAACGCACGTGTCGTGCCACAGAAGCGACCTCCATTTTTCAAAGGGTGCATGCCAGCTGCTCGCCACGATTCGTGGTCTGCCTCTGAGCCGTCTCGTTCCCTCTCTCGACATCGTCCGACTTACTGCCGCCAGCATTTCATCCCTCTGCACCGTCCACTCCCCCGATACGTGCAACATGGAGCGCAGCGTCTGCTGCCACGATTTGCTATACACAGTGGACGGCATGTGGCACTTATATTGGGATACCTCCACGGCGAATTCAAAGTTGTACCTCACAACTTTCTCCACCAACGTTTTGAACCCCCCCTCCTTGAACATCTCCCTGGATCTGTTGGTACTGCGATCCCTGAACTCCTCCCACGTTTCCGTCTCTTTTCTATGTAATCCTCGCATTGTGTTCAAACATATTCCTTCAAAGCTCCTCAATATGTTCACACATGTTCATTACAGCTCCACCCCACACATCCATGGCATATGATCTGTTGAACTCTGCTCTGATACCGTCTGAATTTCTCCCTCATGCTCACCGCGCGTGATCGATAGAATTTAATATCAGCATAGAAACACCGCCTGCCTGCATCAATACGGTGCCGTACTGCATGGAAATCCCTCGGGTTCGTCACAAATTTAACTCCCAGTATGTCGCACTCGCTTTTGCTCGGCAAAACCACCGCCTCACGTAATGGATAGGGTAGGCTGGGGTCTCCAGCCCGTGCACAAATATCATCTCCCAGTTCGCAAACTAATGATTGTGGTCCCTGGTTTTGTCTCAGCCCAAAAACAAGGTACTCCAGGCTCTCAATCTTCCAGTCCATACCAGCCCGTCTGAGGGCCACGGTCAACATGCTCACCATATTCCTCAGCTGATTCGCCGAAGATGCCAGCAGCACCACATTGTCAGCCCATATGTAATGATTGACCAGCGCCTGTTGTGTCCCCTCGCCTTCCAATCGTACTCCATAATGAAATGCTTCCCATGATTCAGCAATAGAGGCCCAAATTGCCTCCAACACAATATTGAAGAGTACTGGTCCTTCTTTCCCTCCAGTTCGCACCGACTTGTTATACAGGATCTCTTCGCTGCACACGTCCTGGAAATCAAAAACTGCTGTGTTTCCAATCATAGGCTCCACAATTGCAATAATCAGATCTGTTGGATATCTCAGATGTTCCATCGCGCGGATCACCATCGAGACAGTGACATGATCAAACGCTTTCTTTATATCCATTATCCCCATATGTACCGACTCGCCTTTTCCCCAGAGAGTGGCATGACGTGTCATGTGCAGCAAAGGGGCCGTCATGTGATGAACTTTGTGACTCTTCTGGAATCCATATGTCGCCAATTTTTTGATATGTCCATGTTCCTCCACAAGAATAAGAAGGCACGCCATGTACCACTTGCTCATAACACTCAACAGCGATATTGCACGAGTCTCCCCAAATGTTTGGATCATACTCATTTTTGGAATCAACTGTACGCACAACTTTCTCCACGAATCAGGTGACGACTTTTTCTGATCATGTATTTCTTGAAATGAGTGTCGTATCACTCTCAATGCATTCCAAGGTATTGCTTTGAGAATCTCCGCCACCAGGCCATCAGAGCCCGCTGCGGTGCCGCCCTTCAATCGGGCTCGAGCCCCCAGCAACACACCCATAGATATGACCCTGTTCGTAGTTCTGCCCTCTGCCTCCCACTGTGTCCGTAGTCGATGCAACTCCCTCTTTGCAGCTCCTCCCTCCCCATCACATGTACATGACCGTTGTACGTGTTTGTTGAGCTCCTCCACCCATCTTTGTTTATTTTCTGTCAGTATCCCGTCACACAGCATTTCCTTGATACACCTACGGGGTCCTACGGGGTCCTTGATACACCTACGGGGTCCATGATCAGTTATCTTAAGAAAACCGACACCGCGTATCAAGATGACTCGAAACGGCCGATCCCGCCAGAGTGCTTTTTGGCAGTAAAAGGTACCCAATCGAGCTGGGATTAAGATGGCGAGCGGGAATAAGACCGAATATCACGGGAAATAATACTAGAGCTCTAACGAATGGTCAAATTTCGAGAACAAAATTTTCAACCAAAAGTCAAGAAAAGTTCCGTCGAGATTGTTCTTGTCAACTCTCCAGCGCGCCGAGACTTGGTAGCGTCCACTTGTAAGCGTCCAAAACCCGGATAGCGAAGCCAAGCGCGGAACGCCGCACGGGGACCTCTGCCAGGCCGCCTGAAACGATGCGCGGGACGCTGGAAACCTCGCAGGAGACGCTTGCAGGGGCGCCGTTTACGATGCGTGGGGCCCTGCAAAGCGCGCAAGGAAAACTGGGCGCCGGCGGTAAACCGTCAACCTTGGTTACCGCCGGGGGACTCGTAGAGCTTCCTAACTCGACTTCAGTTGAGAAAACAGACAGCACTTACCAACAATCTGACTTATAGTGAATAGTTTTTGACCTCTCAATGCAACAGACGGACGCGTCTGATGCCTGCGAATTGACTCCTCTCATTACCAGCCCTGCAGCCCACCTACAGCCCGAGTTAAGTGCAGAAAACCGACAGCACCTCTCAGGATGACTCGAACAATAGGAATAGTTTCGCAAACCTAGTCCGGGCAGCAGAGAGAGTTCAGAGCTCTGTATTCGACAGGCGGACGCGCCTGATGTCTTAAAATCGATCCCAGAGATTACCAGCCATGCAGCCCCCCTACAGCCCGAGTTAAGTCCAGATAATCGACAGCATCTCGCAAGCGACTCGAACGATACGAATGGTTTCGCGATTCTAGATCGGGCAGCAGGCCGAGTTCAGAGCTCTGGATTCGACAGACAAACGCAACTGGCGATTCAAAATTGATGCCTGTGAATATCAGCTCTGTAGCTGTCCCACAGCTCGAGTTAAGTGCAGAAAACCGAGAGTTTCTGTCAAGATGACTCGAATAATACGAACAGGTTTGCGGACCTAGCTCGGCTAGCAGACCGAGTTCAGACCTCTCGCTTCAACAGGCGAACGCGCCTGATTATTCTGCATGCATTAGCTGTGCTTACCAGCTCTGTAGCTGCCCTACAGCTCGAGTTATCTTGAGAAAACCGTCAGCGCATATCAAGATGACTGAAAAAGGGCCGATCCCGCCACAGTGCTTTTCGATAGTAATATTCACCCGATCGAGCTGAGATCAAGATGGCGAGCGGGAATAAGATCGAATATCACGGGAAAAAATACAAGAGCTCAAACGAATTGTCAAATTTCGAGAACAAAATTTTCAACCGAGCAAAAGTTGTCAAAAGTTCCGTCGAGATTTTTCTTGCCAACTAGCTCTCCAGCGCTCCGGAACTGAGCGCCGGCGGTAAACCGTCAACCTGGTTACCGCCAGGGACCTCGTAGAGCTCTTTTCTTGCCCAGCTCCTCGGAACACGTGAAGCAAGCTTAAGCGAGAGCCAAAAAACTCAAAAAAAACGATCGCATACAAATAGTTTTGCGGACTTAGCTCGAGAAGCAGACTCTGTTGAGAGCTCTAGACGCTTCAGCCAAACGCCCTTGATGATTATGTATCGGTTTCTGCGCACCACCTCTGTAGCTGTGCTACAGCTAGAGCTAAGTGCAGAATACCGACAGCGTCTCTAAGGGATTTTGAGAAATACGAGTAGTGCTGTGGATCTAGCTCGACTACCAGAACGAGTTCAGGCCTCTCGATGCAAGAAACGCAAGCGCCTGGTGATACTGAATCAGTTTATGCGCGTACAAGCTCTGTAGCTCCTCTGAATCTTGAGTGCATCACTGGTGAAGATGACTTATACGGACCTAGCTCGAGTAGCAGACCGAGTTCAGGTCTCTGGATGCAACAGGCGAACGCGGCTGATCATTCTGAATCGGTTTCTGTAAGTAACACCTGTGGAATCATATAGCTCCCTCTCGTCCTGACTATCTGTGCTCTCTGCTCCTGTGTCTGTTGTTTGCTTGCATGTGCAGAGCCGCGCCGTGACTGACGCTTTGGCTCAAGCTGTTCTGTGCGCAGTGAGTGCAAAGGCATCTCATTCAGTATATCCTGCGATGGCCGCCTGAACCCGTCGTGCCCACAGTGGTAGGCGGAGCGTGGTTCACCGAACGACTTCCGGTAGCGAGACCCAGGGCGGGCGCGCAGCTGGAGGACGGTTCACAGATCTGCGGCAGGGCGAGGGCGACCAACGAGGGTGCAAGTACTGAAGACGGGTGATGAGCCACTCGAGCGCAGCCGCCTCAGCAGGCGGCAAGGAAGGGCTTACAGACGCAGACATCGACAAGATCGCGGGCAGGGTGGCCCAGATGATACGGCTGGGCACAGGGACATCTCCGGCCTCGGCGCCACCTGAGAGCGCACCCAACCTCCAGGGGCTCGCCGGTCAAGATCAGAGCGCGGCTCCATCTCACGAGGCGGGCTGGAGCGTGGTAGACGACCCCTGGACGGAACAGGACCCGTGGCGAGAAGAATGGAGAGCGAAGGATGCGCGGGCAGAAGATGACAAGCTCACACCACCATCCATGAGGGCATCAGACACTTGGAAGGAGTGGAGAGACAGATCCGAGCAGCGACAGTCCTGGGATCAGGACGACGGATGGAAGAGCAGACCCGGGCGACAACATGCCTGGGATCAAGACAACTCGTGGCAGAGTTGGAGCAGTCAAGGCAGCTCATGGCAGCACGACCGCGGCTGGTGGCAGGGCCAGTGGACACAACCCAGACCAGCACCATCCTGGCCAGGCTGGGAGAGATTCAGGCTGTGGAAGCAGTACGTGAAGCGTTGGAAGGACAGCCTGCACCTGAGCGAGGTACAGGCAGCAGACAGGCTGCTGGAGATTTTGCCCTGGGAGATCAGGACGACTCTCGAGGACATCCCAGACAGCGAGCTGACGGTAGAGATCATACTGAGGAGGATGGGCTTCAAGTCCGGCGAGCGCGAGGACGACGACCTCTACCGGACAGGCAGTGAGGCCATGCAGGACACGGAGAGGAAGAAGGACGAGGACCTGCACGCCTTCGCGGAGCGACGCCGACGTCAATTCGACAAGGCGAAGAGCATCGGGATGGAGATCCCGCAGAAGATCCAAGGCATGCTGCTGATGCAAGGAGCTCGTCTCAACGAGCAGGGCAGGCAGAACCTCAAGAGCCTGACGAAGGGCTCGATGCTGGGCGGGGACATCCTCTGGGCACTGCCCAAGCTGGACACCGGAGGGAAGATCTGGAGCGACGGCAAGCAGTCATCGCTTTTGAGCATGGGGTCGGAGGAGGCGCCGCCACCTTCCGAGCCCCATCGGGCAGAGTCTGGGCCTGTCGAGGAGCCGATCTACGAGTGGTCGTACTGGGCCGACGAGCTCGACTCCGAGGACGAGGCCATGGTGCTCGTCGAGCTCTCAGAGAAGAGCCTCGCGGAGCCAGAGGTGGTCGAGACTTTGGCGCAGATCGGAAAGACCAAGAAGACGTGGAAGGAGAACCAGCAGCTGAAGACGGCGCTCAAGCGGGATCGAGGCTTCTGGAAGAAGAAGCGCCGGCTCACCCCGTCACAGCTGAAGCTGATCACGAAGTGCGGCAACTGTGGAGAAGTAGGGCACTGGCACAAAGAGTGCAAGAATCCTCACCGTCCCAGAGAGCGAGATGGCAAAGGCAAACCTCGGTCTGGAGGGGCCGAGATCGAGGCTTTCACGTTCGCGGCGATTGGCGCGAGCGACGACCAGGACTTCAACCTCGACGGCATCACGGTCCTGGGCAGGGAGGTGCTGGCGACCCTCAGGGAGATCATCAGCTCGGAGACCACGGAGCTCTCGCTGCTGATTCTCGAGGGCGGCCTGATCATCGTGGACAGCGGCGCCTCCCAGGCGATCATAGGTCGCCGGGCTTTGAAGGAGCTCGAGGGAGATCTGCAGCGACGAGGCCTGCGGATCAACTGGATCGAGAAGAGCGTCCAGACACCTCGGGGCATCGGCAGATCGGCCACGCTGGTCGGAGTCGCCGTGGTGCCTATCTCCATCGGCGGCAAGAGCGGGACCGTCGAGTTCGTGGTGACCGAGGAGGACCTGCCTCCACTTTTGCCAGGCGGGTTTCTCGAGCAGTTCGGCGCGGTGCTGGACTACGAGAAGGATCTTCTTCTTCTGAAGAAGTTGGACTGTGAGACTGAGCTCCACCGGATCGGGAAGAACCACCGGGGGATCTACATCAACGACTGGCGCGGGACAGAGAGCAGCTTCTCTCCCAGCTCGCGCGCCTTGCCAGCCGGCCTTGGCTCGGACGCCTTCCGAGCCCCGACTGAAAAAAAGGACGTGCTCTCTTGGAAGGATCCCTCTAGGCCTCAGAAGGAGAGAAACGGCACCACAGGAGCCCCAGCACCTCAGAGAGATCCCGGGAGCCTGCATACCGACTCCAGCAGTTCGAAACCTTCGATGCCTTCCTCCAACCACGACTCCCGCTACGACTTCAACCCCGTAGCTGTTTCGGCTCAAACTTCGAGCCAGACGCAACTACCGAGCTCACCGCGAGATCCGCCTCAAGTCGATGCGGAGCCGCCCAGACTCGGACATCTCAGAGAGGGTCAAGATCCAGTGGATCAGGCTGCTGCATGCCGGACTGATGTGGATACAGACCCTCATGGACAATTTCTTCGCTCTGAACAGGCGCGGGAGACTCTTCCCAGGAAGGGAGCTTCGTCGGAGGATGATGGAGGACCCCAGGCTGGTGAACGACCTCTACGAGTACCGGGTTCCGATGTCGGCACCCTTGGCAGACGGGACGGTGCCTTAGACGCTATGTGTGCATCGCCCCAGGTGGTTCGTGACCTCATACAACCAGCACGGGAACTGGGAGCAGTGCAGCAAGTGCAAGGTGAGGACGTCCTATCGAGAGATCGGGTATCGCGGGGACGGCCACCGACAGATGACGGCATCAGAGATGAGGAGGCTCAGGCAGAAGCTACCGCGCGATGTCAGGCCACTGAGCTCGGCAGGTTCGGCGTCGCAGGAGGGCACAGCCCAGGCTCCGAGTCGACGCGCGGCGTCGGCGCCGAACGACGAGAACACCTGGTCGAGCTTCAACCAGGAGCCTCCACCTCCGTGGGCATCGGAGATGGTGCGAGGTCTATCGGCAGCAGTGGCCGAGGCAATGACGGCATCCACGGGGCCGATGGCAGCAGCGCTACGCGAGCAATCTGTGACGCTCTCGCACATGGTGGCCACGATGCAGCAGATGGCACCAGAACCCCCAGCAGCAAGCGGGAGTGCGGACTCCAGCACGCCGGCATCGCCGACCGGACCGCCACCGACGACCACCGGGGCATCTCCAAACCTCGGGTTCACCATGGTGGAGGAGGCCCCGGCGGACACCGACATGAGGGGCAGCTGAGAGAGAGCGGCGTGCTGCGACTACTTGGCGACAAGTCTCGACAGGAGTGCTGGCTTCGAATACCTACATCTCGCAGTTTACACAGAGAGGCCAGCGTTGCTCTAGAGCAGGCCAGAGCGAGCGGCCAATGCTACCGGGTCGATCAGGAGGTTTTGGAGAAAAACGAGGGCCCTCTCTCTTCTTCCTCATCCTGTCACAACCCTTCCTCTATCTCTGCCTGGCAGTGTGAGTCCGACGACGGGCGATACCGACTCCGGGTCAGCATCTCCACCTCTACCTCCCAGGGCAGCTCCTACTTTGTCGAGGACGGGTCTACGGGTGCGGGGTCCTACTACGTTGTCCCACTCCAGAGCTACCTGTCTATCACGACGCTACGCGGCTCCGAGCCATTTCACGACTCCGACGACACGCTAGCTAACCTAACGGGCCTGGACAACTACACCCACCAGTTCAGAGTTGATCAGAGGAGTAGGCGTCGTCTTCGTCAGGGTCTCCGAGGTCTTGGAAGAGTATCGGGCTCCAACTCATGGGGATACGAGTTCGTGGAAGTCTTCTCACCTCCTCGCACGGCAAAGGTCTCCTCTCAGCTGGGCTCCAGAGGCTCTCCGACCGGCGGCAGCTTGGACCTATCTACGGGCTGGGACTTCCGACGTGCGGATCACAGGGAACTAGGAAAGCAGTTGATCAAGAAATGGCGTCCGTGGCTGGTATTTCTCAGTCCTCCATGCACCGAATTCGCCACCATCAACGCAGTCAACGACGAGCGGCGAGACCCGGTCGTGATGGCCCGAGCACGTGAGGGAGCATTGGACCTGTGGGCGTATTCAATGGAGATAATCGAGCTTCAGATCTCGGGCGGTCGCAAGTTCGCCCTGGAACAACCTGCTACCGCGACTTCTTGGGCTCTTCCCAGTACTCAGAGGCTTCTGGAGCTCCCGGGCGTGTCCAGGATCACGTTTGACATGTGCAGATTTGGGCTTTCCGTTAGGCCCGGCACGATTTCCAAGAAACCAACCACTGTGGCTTCCAACGACTGTGAAGTTTACAAGGCTCTCTTGGGAAAACGGTGTGCCGGGGACCACCGACATCCGGTGCTGGAGGGAGGCGGTCTACCACGACGTGCGGCATGCTATCCTTCTAAGTTCTGCAGGGCCATAGCACACGCGGTTCACCGATCCGCAGAGCTTCAGCAGCTGAGAACCGACGAGAGCTTTCCAAGCGGGGTGCCAGCGTCTCGTCGACAGGAAAGAACGACTCAGTCTCAGGTGGAGGGCCCCGAGCAAGACAACTCCGAGGACGAAGAGGAGGAGGATGAGCAGCAGCAGCAGCAGGACTGCCCGTTGACTCAGGAGCAGATTCGACAGGTGGAGAAGGCACACATCAATCTTGGCCATCCCACCAAGAGAGACCTGCTTCGTATTCTCAGGTGTGCGCACGCTCGGCCAGAGATCTTGCGCTACGTTCAACATCACTTCGTGTGCCAGTCTTGCGAGAGTGCCGGCAAGTCTATCCCTCAGCGAAAGGCAGCAGTTGCCCGGACATTCTCATTCAACAAGCTGATTGGAGTAGACCTTTTCTTTGTGACGTATCAGCGCAGGGAGTACACGTTTCTGAATGCAGTATGCCTGGGGACTTCTCTACAATGGGTGGGGCTTGTGGGACCCGGGAGATGTTCGCAGCCAGCAGCAGTGTGGAAAGCTTTCTCTCGGGGATGGATCCGACACTACGGACCTCCAGAGGTCCTCGTATCAGACGGTGGGAAGGAATTCGAGGCCGAGTTTAGCAGACACTTAGAACAACAAGGGGTGTTCCAGCACACCACCGACGCAGACAGTCCTCGGCAGAACGGGAAGACAGAGCGGGCGGGTCAATGGTTGAAGGAGCGGCTCCAGAGGTTCGTGGACGATACCATCCTGGAGGGCCCCGACGACCTAGAGCTGGCGGCCTGCGAATTGGCTGCCTGGCGGAATCGTTTCCTGAATCGAGGCGGGTATTCACCACTACAACTAGTATTTGGGCAAAACCCCAGGGTACCACAGGAGTTGCTCAGCGAGGACCCGCTAGACCACATAGGACTTCACGACCTGGAGGAACCGAGTGCCGATCTTGAAAGTGCGGCGGCGGCTTTCCGACACCAACACGAGATCCGGTCTCGTGCCCGACAGCTTGCGATGGAAGGAGATGCGCGTAGGAAGTTGCAGCATGCGTTGGGATCGGCGCGGCACAGGGACAGGACCTACCGACCGGGGGATTGGGTGTACATCTGGAGGCGAGCGCCCAAGACAGGGCGCAAACCATACGGTTTGCAACGGGATCGGTGGGTCGGGCCAGGTGCAGTGATATTCCATCATGGAACAACAGTGTGGGTGTGTGTGCGTAGTCGCCTGTGGAAATGCAGTTGTGAACAGATACGACCTGCTACGCAGTCAGAGTCTCTTGGGGCCGAGCTCATCCAGACCACGTGCTATCGGGACGTCTTGGACGAGCAGCTTGCTAAGGGGATCTCGGGAGGGGCTCTAGACGTTGCTCAAGAGGGACCACCACCACCAGAGGCCACCATGGCTCCCATTAGCTCCGAGGGCAACGCGTCTCCAGTGACTGTCGCACCAGCAGGCTCCAACGAGGCTCCAGGCCACCAGGGGGACCCTCAGGACTCCAACATGGGCACCAACAACATCGAGGCTCCAAGGGTTCCCACTCCAGCTCCCGACTCCAGCACCCACCCTACTCCAGCTCCGACTCCAGCAATCGCAGATACTGTGGCTCAAGTAGCTGCTGGACCTCCTGCTCCCCCACCAGGACTGGGACCTCCGACCCAGGCCGCCGGCGCGAGACCAAGACCTCGACTCGTCTGGGCTCCCGGTCCAGTGACTCGTCTGATACCTGTGCCAGAGCACGAGGAGTCAGCTCCCGCACCAGCGGATCCTGCTGGAGCTCTCGGACAGGGCAGTGCTGGCCCAGCCGCAGCCGGACCTCAGAGGGAGCCAGCCGCCGAGCCGACACCTCCAGTGTCCCAGACTGGCTCGACACCTGCCGGATCGGAGACAGGCTCCCAGGCGGTGGCCACCGCTGGCGGCTCGCGGGCATCGTCGAGACGTCCTTCACTGTCCGAGGACGACCCGGAGCTCAAGCGAGCCAGGCTGGATCCTGACACCCTCCGGTCCGCGACCGGAGGGGCACCTACCGACGAGCAGCTCAGGGGTTCTGGCCTTCCGACACCTATGGAGCTCCTGCCAAGGGCTGAAGGTCGGGTTCGCACTCAGATCCAGGAGTTCGAGAACTGGCGATCTCAGCGGGGCAGCGCTGCAGCCTCCTCTCAGGCTGAGCCCCAGGGGGCGGGATCGGAGACCCCGATGGACGAGACCGGCTTCAGTGCTCTCGAGGGCTACTGCGAGGTGCTGGATTCCTGGTTCGAGGACTCCGGCTGGAGCGGGGACATCGAGACCTACATGAACGGCCGGAAGGATCTGATCTTCGAGCACTCAGAGGACAGCGCCGGGCAGTGGTCCCTGCTCTCCTCTCGCGGCGGGGAGGTCAAGCTCAAGGATCTCTCGGCCCAGCAGCTTGAAGAGTTCCGACGATCGGACGAGGCCGAGTGGGGCGTACTCAACAAGCCGAGTGTGTTGCGGATCCTCAGCAAGGAGGAGTCCACTCGTGTGCTTCGTACCCGACCAGAGCGGGTGCTATCGTCCAGAATGGTACGCCGATGGAAGGCACAAGAGGGCACGTTCAGTGCCCCAAAGGCAAAGAGCAGATGGTGCGTGCACGGATTTGCAGATCCTGACACTGAAAGTCTAGTGACATACTCTCCGACACCTCAGTCTGAGGCCATGATGCTCTTCGGACTCGTGCTCTTAGGCCATGGCATGGACCAGAGCATCGTGGACTGCAAGAACGCCTTCAGTCAGTCGAGACGGCTCCGCAGGGCTGGTGGACCCATCTATGTGGCTCCCTGCGGGCTCACTGGCATTCACGTTCCCGACGGGTGCCTGATTGAGCTACACGTCGCCGTCTATGGTCTAGACGACGCCCCTTGGGAATGGCACGCCACGATCACCTCCTACCATCGCGACCTCGGATTCAAGAAGCTGCTGATGGAGCCCTGCTACTGGACACTCCGGGAGCAGGGTGCCCTGAAGGGTCAGGTCCTGATAGAGGTGGACGATCTCTGGCTGGGAACGGTTGCCTCTCACACGAAGTGGTTGGCCGACTCTCTGAAGGCCAGGTTCACTTTCGGCAAGTGGCGAGGTGACGAGGCAGAGTTTGCAGGACGCCGCATCAGAAAGGAGGCTCACCGCATTCGCCTGGACCAGGAGAAGTACATATTAGAGGAGATTCATCCGATTGTCTTGGAGAAGGGCCGCCGCTCCAAGAGACGAGTCTCTGAGCCGCTCCGAGTTCGAGCAGCTCCGATCCGGCATCTACCGGATCAACTGGGTGGCGAAGGAGACCCGTCCTGAAGTGGCGGGCACGGCCTCCATACTCGCCAGCAAGCTGGAGCAGGCGGTAGTGGAGGACATCGTAGTTTTCAACCGGGCAGTCCAGATGCTGCGCGACACCGCCTCGCAGTACCTGACCATCTGGCGCCACGACCTGTCGCAGGCGGTGAGCTTCACCTTGAGCGACGCGGCGGGAATCGGCACGGACTCGCCCATACAATGTGCTTGGGCTGTAGGAGTGGCTGACCCTCAGCTGGCCGCCGGACTGACCAGCAAGGTGACGATACTTTCTTGGAGATCCTCCAAGATGCGTCGAGCCGCCAACTCATCCTTGGCCGGTGAGGCCAACTCCCTCTGCCAGTCCCTTGGAGAATCCGACTGGATTCAGCTGCTGCTTCGTGACGCTTGCTTCGGGGACGTTCCGACCGCCGACTGGCGACAGCACGCCGGCCCCTACGTGTCTGTGCTACGTGACAACTGTGAGTTGCACCGGTGCCTGGAGTTCATGCTACGGACGCTAAGTCTATCTTCGAC